TAGACATATTAGCCAACAGAAATCAAGTTGCAGAGAGGACTATCCATTTGGTAGAAGAATCACTGCAGTTAAACCTAACTTCTGACCTCATCCTCGTCAAAAAATTGATACCTGTTGGGTATCTTTTTTCATGTACTTGAATGGTGCATATTTTTCATCCTGGTGTGATTATACTTTGTACAACAAGGGAAGACACTTTTGCTACTCTTTGTTCTTGATGTGCTGCTTCAGGATTTGTCCAGGCAAAGTAAGGGGCAGCAGGGGTAGGGGAGTAATAGTGGATCAAATACTCCTCCGAAAGTCTGTTTTTATTGGTCATTGTTTGGATACGACTCAAATTTGGATTTCAGATCTATTAGGCACCTTCAAAGAGTCGAGCTTAAACAGAAATTGATAGAGCCATCCATGTGAATCCAAGGCTACGATTTGACCAGAATTAGTGCAGTAGAGGACTGAAAAAGGTACTATGATTTCAAGAAAATAATTCTAGTTGCAAGCTTGGTATCTGGAGCTCAAGGAAACTGCTAATTTCTCTAAGATTCCTCAGTTGTGATTTTGAACTTCTCATCACAAATTATACCAGATCCTGATATTCTACTCCAAAACCAAGTAAATAACCCCATCACTCATAAATTCTTGAATCATGCTCCTTAATTAAGCAATTATGCAAATCACTGGTGCAGTTCTTATTGGATAATTACTACCTTGAAACTATAAAAGGCATAAGGTGCAGTCAACGGAATCTAATCCCCAAGAGCTATGATTAGCTTGTGCTGACCATACCTTCCGCAAATATCTAATTGCAATTAGAAAAAAGAGTCAAAGGAGAGGTAAAGCAGTATGGCCTATAATACACCTTTAATTTTCCTCAGAAAAAAGCAGGACAGCACTGTCAGTTCCACAGGAAATAGTGTAGTCATAAACATTTAACTGGTTTCCTTAATAGCATAACACACAGGCACTGATGATTTGTGTGGGCTAACAATTTTTTCTGCATATAGGCTGTGTGTAGAGCTTTCATTTTGAAAATGCATGATGACTAATTTGCCCTTTCAGAATGTAATCAAGACACTCAACAGTGACTTTATTGTACGTATCATTCACGTCACTGATACCGACACAAAATGTCTTTGAAGTAGAGCTGCAGCACATCGGACTATTATATCTGGCCTAAATTTTCTGCTGTTCCCCCACGCCACACAACAGAAAAAATACAGTTCCTTGAAACATCAAAGGTTTTTGAATTCTGCTTTGAAACTACCCCCCCTGCAAAAAACCAAAACTAACTCCTCCGAATATTGGTATTTCTTGTGGTGTAAAAATGCTATTCTCAGGCTGACCTACCATACTTACCACCTGATGAACAGCAAGGTGGTGAATGGTTTTAGTTGTGGCAAACATTAAAAAGTTAAAATGTGTGAGTATGAAGTTGTTTGCTTCAATGCAAACGGTTGTCAAATCGCTCTCTCACACATGATTATCCACCTACCCTCTGGACCGACTAGAGAGAAAAACCTACTCATAAGAAAAGTAAACCGAATATCCCGAACTGCTTCTGTGCATGATACTCCAAAGAGTAAAGCTTCATTCTTCCAAAACTGAGTCTCGCTATAGTAATTTCTTGGGTTTCCAGCCATCATCACCTACCAGAGCAGAGTGGAGCATTCCATAACGATTATTTTCCTCTGATGGCACAAAGGAGAAGTATCTCATGTCAAGGTTAGGCCTAGTTTCCCATGTTATTAAGACAACTCTATTTAGGTGAGGGGTGGCAGGCTCCTAAGCTTGCTGCAGAAACTGGAAGGTTGATGGGTCAACAGCAGATACTGCCCAGAAGCGGTGGAAAGTCTCAGGTATCTGCAGGTTCCTCCTCCAATACCTGCTAACAGAATGAAACAAGCCCCAGGCATCACTCCTGGGTTGAGGAAGCAGCAGGGATCTCTTTTGCCAGGCAACGCCTCTCCTGTTACAGTGCATCTCCACATACAGCGACATTTTCTTGCAATTGAAAGACAAGGCTTTTGTTATGGGCCTGAATTGGTTGTCACTGAAATTAGATGGGGTGGGCAAAATATGGCCCGCAGGTGGAGAGATTTTGTCTGGCCTATGGTGGGTCCCTTAGTCCTGCCTGACCCAGGTGCTGTCTGGTTCGTGGCATGTCCTGCCATCCTCTGGGCACACAGTGGGGCTGGGCCAACTCCACAGCTGGACTGCCTTTCTAGGCAGCCCAGGTAGTGGCAGCTCCGTCTGGCTGCTACTGGCCCCAGCCCTGTGGTGCTGGCAGGGACCTGCGCACACAGCCCTGACCCCAGCCCACTCCAGACTTGGCCCAGCAGAGCGGACCAGCTGGAACATGCATGCACGACCCTGACCCAGCCCACCCCGTGCCTGCTCTGAACCCCCTGCCCATGCTGAGCAGCAGCAGCAGCGGTGGCAGCTGGGAAGAAGCTGCCCCTCCCCTTTGCTGCTGCCAGGCCCTTCTTGTTGCAGCTGCCCGAAGCCTGCACCTGGACTGCCCTGTGGCTCGTGTACGCTGCCAGCACTGCCCCGTTGGATGGCCCAGAGGCAGCGGTGGAGAGGAGTGGCAGGGCAGCCTGGGTGTGGGCTGCAGGCAGCTGCAACGAGAAGGGCCCAGCAGTGGGGAAAGACAGCACTTTTTCCCTGGGCCCAGCAGCAGCTTCTGCCTGGCTACTGCCGCTGCTCAGCATGGCCGGGCAGTCCGGAGCAGGCATGGATGGGCCAGGGTGGGGGCCATGCATGCCGGCTCCAGCCAGTCTGGAGCTGGTCCGTTCCACTGTGCTGAGTCCAGAGCAGGCGCAGGGTGGGTTGGGGTCCAGGCAAGTGGTGGTGGCAGCCAGAAGGAGCCACCACTGCTGCCTGGGCTGCCTAGAAAGGTGGGGCGGGGGGGGAGGGTGCTGACCAGTCTGCACCAGCTCCCCAGATCTGCCTATGTGGCCCATGGGCCCAAATAATTGCCTGCCCCTGAATTAGATAAAATTATCACCCATTAAAGCCATTGGCTTTAATGGGTGCTAATGGGCACTTGGGGAACAGTATCCCAGCACAAGAAAGTACTGTCACGTCTGAGATGACTGACAGGTGTGGTTTAAGAACTCACCTGTTTAAGATGAAAGTGAGGGATAGCTTGTATCCAACTGAAAATGCAGAAACCACTTGTGCCAACACAGTAGAATAATTCACCTGCTTTTTTAGATGAGAACTGAAGTTCTTCGGCCGACAATGCTCAACACTCTTCCAACACCTGCCTGCCTGGAGTAGATGACCTTGTGAAGTTACCTCCAGCCTTACTTTCCTATGAACCTATGAATAACTGAACTTAGGTCTCCTTTCCAAGTCCAACACCAAGCAGGGGCTGTAATAACTCAGGGCACTTTTACACGTGCTCAGGGAGTGGCGGGCTGCGGCACTTTAATTAGAGCAGCTCCGAGAGCATCCTCCCGTGTCTTGTATATCAGCATCCACACACTTAAAAATGGTGGCAGGGGCACTTGAACTAAATCTCGTCCGAAGAGCTTTAGATAAAGTGCTCCCACTGCCATTTTTAAGTGCAGGGATGCTGATACACGAGACGCAGGAGGGTGCCAAAGCGAGGCAACAGCCACGCTCCAGCAGACTCAATTAAATAGAGTCTGATCCAATACGCTGGGATTCCAGTGCATTGGAGCAGCCTCCACACTCATTTATAGGTGCCCTCAGAAGCGAGAAAGCATATGCTCAAATTGTCCAACATTACCTCCTGCGCCCATGTTTTCCTTTCCAAATCTGTTTAGGTTATCAGGTCTGCCAGGATCCCAGCTGAAGGTACCACAAAAACTACAGCCTTTGTATGTACACTGATGCAACCTCTCTTCCGAAAAAACCCTTTCTTATGAAAACCCTGAACGGCGTGCTACCTGGAGATGGGTCCTTTGGGAAGTTTCTGTTACAATAGTTAATTGGTGCATTCAAGAAATATATGTTGTATTATAGAACTATAAATACTCATTTTTACAAGGACAGCTGAAAAGCAGCCACAGCAGTTTGTTTATTTTACTTTAAAGTCCTGCCAGATTTATCCATTAGACTCTAACAAGAATCAGACTAATCTGGAAAAAAAAATCCATGACTGCACAAAAACTGAAGCCTAAACTACCAGTTTAGGAGCCTACAGAATGACCCTAACCTTACAGCAAATGAACACTGAACATGCCCCTTCCCTTCCTCCCCCCACCCTTCTCAAGAAGTCACAATTAAATCCAACATTGTGGTAGCCAATTGTCCATTATTTGCAGTGTAAGAATCTAGACAGACATTCACTCCAGGAAATGTCCCCAGATTTCCAGTAAACTGAAAATCTACTAAGAGCTGTCCAAGTCTAAATATCAGTTCAAGGCTGTGGATAGACAAAACAACTTCTACTTTTCATTTCTTTAAACTGGTGAACACTTACCATTTGTGAGCATGTGTTAGCTGATCCACTCTTTCATGTGCCCACTCGTATCCCTCAGTAAGTCATAGCTAAACTAGTACAGGTTATCCTGGAATGAAACAGGCGCTAACTTACTGTCGTTTTTGTTCCATTTACTGTAGTACCGTGAGGACACATGAACCCATCAGCATAAAACATGTTAAGTTGTTCCCTTTCTAAACCGATCCAGTTGTTTCGTCTATCCATAACTGTACTTAATAAGCTACAGTGGATGACCAGCATTGAAGGGTATTATAAGAGATTAGATCCCCTCCTTAAGACGTTTTCTCTCTTTCATTTAATATCTTTGGTTTGTGATGGAAATTCAAGAATGAATGCAATCAATAAAATCCAGCTGATTGTAGAAGAGGAAGATACTTGTTTAGTATAATTAGCCCTTCAATAAAAAGATACTATGATAGCTCTGAGTTCATGGATTTAACTGTTTCCCATAGATAATCTTTTCCTGGCATTTTCTTTGTATTTAGCAAGCTGTACCCAATCCCTGTGAACAGGGAACAAAACCTCTTACCGTTTTACTTCTTGGACATAGTCTGCATTTCTGTCAAACAGGTGAGTTACTGAATCCTTGATTGCTTCATGCTTAAAAGATGACGCTGTTCCAAAAACAGTAACATTGGGAATAGTTGAGCAGAGCTGGGCAACGGCTTGACCCTGTAAGTATAGCATCATGTTAGCCCCTTTGACATGGGAAGCTTGTTATGCAATTTCCACCTATACATTTAGCCATAATGAAGGAAAAGCCAAGACTGATCACAGACAGTTTCCAAACTTTCTTCATCTAACTGTCAGACAATTCACAGCTTACCTGGTAAATATTTATTACAAGAGACACAATATTCTTTTTTAGACCAATACGAAGTTTAAATTGCACTGGAAGAAACTAAACATAATTATCAAAGGGGTGTTAGTTAAGTGCATCAATTCCTTTTAAGAGATTCATATTAAACTGACATCATCCCCTTTAAAAACTGCACGTCTGTGTAAAAGATGTGCATGTTTTGCTATCACAGAAAAAAATGTCATTTTTTTCTTCCATTTCTTCCACACATGCAAGAGAACCTACTTAAGCTTGCAGTAGGAGACAGTGAATGCATGAGACAAAAGCACAGATGTAAACACTAAAAGGATAGAGGAGAACTTGTCATTTGGGAGCTTGTATATGCTGAAATGATACAGGTGTTTTGTTTGGCCACTACTATGCCAATATAGTGGAGGTAAACTGCTTTGAGTTTAGATCTGAAACAGGTTTAACGTTACAACAATTTATGTTCCATTTAGAGCAATCAGATGAAACAGCTACAGCAGGTCAGCTCTAAAATGGTATAGCACAGCACTTTACTGTTCATCCACACTCCAATGCAGCATATTTTAACAGGTGTACTCCACATGTCTTATTAGCAACACTACTGCAACACATGCTTGACATTGGGTGCCTGTGAAATGAGGGACAAGGAAAGACATTTCACACCTGAGTTTAGTTTGCCCCATTTGGAAAGGTAAATGGTAATTTTGCCATTTGGCAACAGAGGAGTTGAACCTACACGATTCAACAAGCCTTTTTAAAAATATCTTGTTTTTATGATGATGTACCAGGCAGGCACTACTTGACATTAGTCACATCATTTCAGATTTTCAGGTTTGTGAAATATAAATGCAGCTGCTTTTCAATACGGTGTGGAATTTACAACACAATGGTCTAAATTGTAGAAAGAAAAGTCACGTTGCTCAGTGGTAGAGCCAGAATGAGGAGCAAGTGAGTCAGATAAAATATACCTGATATTCCTCCCACTTACCACTGTTACATTCAGTAGAATTACCCCCGATTTTCACTTCTACAAATGAAAGCAGATTAACCAAGCCAGTTTTTTCATTCGAATCTCAGCTCAAGTTTGCCGAGATGGCCCAAATCAGTTGAAATAGCTAACACTAAATTTCTTGCATCTAGAGTAAAACAGATCTGGTTATCCCGAGAATAGGGATGTCTGGTCTTGCATGGCTGCTTTAACAGGACAAAAAAGACAAGTTTATAAGCCAAGTTGCGTCTCCAGTGGCACCTGTATATTCGCACCAAGGCCAGAAAGGTTTCAGTGATGTTAGAGGGGGTAAAAATTGGCACTGTTATTTAATTATGATGTCTAGCTGAGTTTAGCACACACTTCCCATTTCTCCAGCTAAAGAGCATCATTTGTAAATGACATGCATAACTAGTAAAATCACCCACAGATAAATACATTTCTGTTTATTCAAACAAGAAATCCTGATTATTGATATCTAAATACCAGTCGTCAGTGCTTGGATTTTATTTACAAAGGATAAAATAGAAAACGCTGCATACCCTGGAGGTCTTGGGATCCTCACAGATAATGCTGAATATCATTTTCAGTGGCAATCCTCTCTCCATCATATTTTGGCAGGAGAGGTCAATAGTAGTAACTTGCTTCAGGGTAGGTACTGTACAACTTAGCAAGGGACAGTTTAGAGAGCTCTTTTGGGGCTGGTATTAAATAGGCAGCATGGCAAAGAGTGAAAAAAAAAAGAGATCATCATCCCCACTTTACAAAGAGAAATTTCATCATGTAGGAATTCATTGATTTGAGGATGATCATTTAGGAAGTCTTTGGCAAAACTAGGATATTAAGGGGAATCTGCTGAATCCTAGTTTAGTGTCTTAAGCACAGACCATCTCCAGTCTCTACCAGCACCAATAATGTTTCATCCAAGGCTCTTCTCTCCCAGAAATGTAACCTGACTCACTGGACCATGTCCCTTCACTTAGTTCGTTGTGGTTTCCAACCTAATTTTAAGTCTTGTGGTATATGCAAACGGGTTGGTGTGCCTACTCCCACACGGGCTTTATCCCCTTAGGGGCTCTTCCGACAGTACAAACAGTAGTCCAGAAGTTGGGTCGAGTGCCTACAGCCTTGCTGGCTGGCTCTCATACATGCAAGAGCCAGAAAACCTACCTGAGCCTGCAACAGGAAATACTGGATGCGCGTGACAAAAAACCCAGCTGTAAACAGTTAAAGAGCAAGAGAAAGAGAACTTGCCATTTGGGAGTGTGTGTGTGTGAGCCCACTGAGAGCCACTCAGCTAGCCCCCATAACACAGATATTTGTTATATAAATACATCCATCTAGCCTGGTATCTTGTCTCTAACAGTTACGGAAGTGGTTGCTAGAATGAGAGCACTGAACCAGACAGATCTAGAGCAAAGGTGCTCAACCTTTGTTCATGGGGCTCCCCACAGATCGGGAAATTTGGTGGCAGGGGAGCAGTGACAAAAATATGGCTGCCCTTCTCTGCTGCCAAATTTCCAAACTCCAAATCCAGTGCAGCAGGTTGGGGCGAAGTCACCCCCTCCCTCCCCCACCCCCAGGGCTGGATGAGGCCAGGCCACATCCCTCCACCTGATCTAGTTTGGGGCTGGGCCATGTCCCCATTCCTCCCCCATCCCGTGAGGCCAGGTTGGAGCTGGGATGCCCCTTGCCTCACACTGTGTGGCCAGATGTGCTATGACCACCCCATGCTGGATTGGGACCACTAGCTGGATCCAGCCTGTGGATGGCCTGGGCACTGCCCATCCACCCTGCCAGCCAAAAAGGTTAAGCACCACTGATCTAGAGTGATCTATCCCCTAGCCATTACCCTCTCAGACATCCACCATTATTGTACCAAGGAAGAAGAAAAAAGCCACCAATGAATACTGGAAAGGTCAACTGTTATAAAAGAAAAACATCTTGCGTCTGTCTAATGTAAGATTGTAAAAATTCCAGGAATTTAATTATATTGAGTAATTGTCAGGCTAACAGAACATGTATAAGAAGAAATGACTGGTGGTACATCTACTGCAGATATAAGACTGACCAAAACTCAAACAGGACCATCTCTTGTCTACTTGTGTGTGCATGTCTGAAATCCAAATCTGGATTCAGGTGACCATTTCATTATATGGGACTGAACTAAAACTACAGAAGTATTAAAAGGCAATCCACAAAGGACCTACGTACCCTCTTCTCCTCCACTCCTGAACATACATCTATACTTAGCTTTTTTTTCACTTATTTCAGGGAAGATCTTAAACACACACACACAGACATTGCGGACTCGTGATCACAGTCTACAGGCTTTTCCCATGAAATGGCTTCAAGCAGAAGCACCTATCAACTCAGATGTCTAAACCTGGCCATGCTCCTAAACAGCACTTAAATCTCATTTCTATTCCATTAACTTATTCCAGCACAAGTGAGACAAACAGTTCAAGCTTATGAGGTTATATGTGAGGTTAGTTAAACAAAATGCTTGGAAATTTTATCCTGGTCCCCATACAGAACCTAAGTAAATGTGATGTGCATACAGCAGTTTTACAGAGGCTGGAGAAAACAAAACCTCATTCTCTCCTGACATGGAAAAGATAGAGATCTACTCTGCAAACTTGTGGCTGCAGCACAGTCTTTATATATGAAGCATGACTTGGACACTGGAATCAGCCAGCTGAGGGTATGTCAACCTCAATCCACATCTGCTCTCTGTAGAGAAGTCATGCTAGAAAAGAGCCTTGTGCTTAATGTAGACCAGAGAAGGGGCTTTGAGTACCCTGCCTGCCTCCTCACTTAACAGAACCGCATTAGTTCCACTGCTGTTTAGCCTTCCTCATGGCTCTTTTGTGAGAGCCAACATAGGCAGGGTTTTACCATGAGTAATTCATGTGCTCCTAAACCTGCTTAGCACTTACAAAATCAATCATTCATGGCCTGCCATAAACATTTATTTTCAAATATGAACAACTCAAAGCATAACTACAGAACAGGTTCTTGCTTACTGAACCCAAGAAAATACAACATAGAAATCCAATTCTCATTTGACAATTAATTTTACCTTTAACAGGACTGAGCAGTCTCTGGATAAAGTGATCAATTATTCCATAACTACATCTATCATTTCAATGAAGCATTTGCCTGAAAAAGAGTTAATCTTCTTTCCAGAATCTGATTTTCGTACTGCTTATCATGCAGAGTCTACAGAAAGTCTTCAGGGAAAGAATAACTCCAATTAAAGGGCCTCTATGGCAATGAGGAATCTCTCATATTGTACTGGGCATCAAACACTGGTGGGACGTGTTCCCGTAAGTGGCAAGGTGCGTTTCCCCGGGGACAAAGAGCAGCGGTACATATTTGTGCTGCTGCTAGTTGTCCCCAGGTACATTCCTGCATGTGTGCTCTGGCATGCAGCAAATTGCCCTGGGTGGGGTAGGGGAAGCTGAGGCCAGTACCAGGGGCTGCAGCAGCGACAATCCAGGCATGTGGAGCCTGGGTGGCAGCCGGAGCCTGGCTCTGGTTTCAAATGGCACATTCTGTAGCTATATGTGCAGCCTTGGGGTTTTTTTGGGCATGTTTTTTTTTTTGGCGTGCAGCAAATGCATGCACGTGCAGTGCATGATGTCTGTGGTGCTGCAAACCGCATGTGCATGCATGTGTGGACGTGCCCGTGGATTCCATTTAAAGAGGTACTCACCATTTATAATTATCAGCATGGTGGACCCAATCTGAACATGGGATGGTTACAAAACTGAATACAATTAGAAATGCTTGCAAGAATTAAGTTCCAGTTAAAGTTTTAAGCTTATGCATCAGAGTTGGAAGCCTGTGCCAGTC